TTATCTATATCGATCATTCGGCCATTAGATATCTCCTCCAAAAGCATGATGCTAAGCCTAGACTGTTACACTGGGTTTTTTTGTTGCAGGAATTTGATATTGAAATCAGGGACCGGAAAGGGTCTACTAATCAGGCAGCTGATCACCTTTCAAGGTTAGATGTCGAATTAGCAGAAACCTTTGAAAGATGCGAGGTGGGTGAACTTTTTCCTGCTGAGAGGTTAATGGAAATATTCGTCAATGAACAAACACCATTGTATGCCGACATTGCCAACTACCTTGTTGGTAACGTCGAGCCTAACGACCTAACAAGGCACATGAAGAGGCGGTTCCTGTCAGAAGCAAGGCACTATTTTTGGGATGATCCATATCTATTCCGAATTTGTGCTGACCAGGTGGTGAGAAGATGTGTTTCTAAAGCTGAGGGAAGAGACATACTGAAACATTGTCACAGCGGTCCTACTGGGGGCCACTTTTCAAGGAATAGAACTACCAGACGGGTTCTGGACTGTGGGTACTTCTGGCCCACGATTTTTAAGGATGCTAATGTATTTGTTTCCTCTTGTGATAACTGTCAGCGAATCGGGAACATTTCAAGGTGCAATGAGATGCCCCAACACTTTATATTACCTTGTGAGGTATTTGATGTTTGGGGCATCGACTTTGTTGGACCTTTTCCCAGCTCAAGATGGAACAAAGACATTCTTGAGGCCATTGATTATGTTTCTAAGTGGGTTGAAGCTCAGGCCTGCGTCACCAATGACTCTCGAGTAGTCGTGAATTTTCTGAAAAAGTTGTTTACAAGGTTTGGTGCGCCTAGGGTTTTGATCAGTGACAGAGGGACTCATTTTCATAACGACCCAATGGCCAGACTTTTGGCCAAATATGGAGTCCAGCATCGAAGCGGAGTAGCGTACCACCCCCAGACTCAGAGGCAGGTCGAGAACGCTAATAGGGATTTGAAGTCCATTTTAGAGAAAATTGTTGCCCATACCAGGAAAGACTGCTCAACTAAACTTGACGACACACTTTGGGCATTTCGGACCGCATACAAAGCCCCGATCGGAACCACCCCATTTCACCTAGTATACGGGAAGTCTTGCCACTTACCCGTTGAACTCGAACATAAAGCACTTTGGGCGATGAAAAATGTGTGTTTTAAACTTGACGCTGCAGGGAAAGAACGATTTTACCAGCTAAATGAACTGAAGAGTGGAGAGCGCAAGCTTTTCATAATTCCAAACTTTACAAAGAAAGGGTCAAACTCTATCATGATAAACACATCAAGGCCCGTGGTTTCAATGCTAGGGACAAGGTGCTACTGTTGAACTCCCGGTTAAAACTTTTTCCGGGAAAACTGAAATCAAGATGGTCCGGACCGTTCACGATCGTGAAAACTTACCCCTATGGCACCATCGAGATCGAAGATGCAAACGGGGGTCCCTTTAAGGTCAATGGCCACCAACTCAAACTTTACCACGGTGGCCCGGTCGAAAAAAGCAAGGAGATTCTCTATCTGCAGAAATTTTGAATCAAAGGAGGAAATTCGTCAAGCTAGTGACGTTAAAGAAGCGGTCATTGGGAGGCAACCCATTATAAAAAAAACAAAAAAAACTAACCCTAAAAAAATGTTATTTTGATTTTTGCAGATGTCTAGAGGAGGAAGCGACGATCCCATATGTCAGGAGCCACCACTAACTAGGGATGACCCATTGCATGTGACAGATATCCCATTTGCTACTGATGCTGACCGCACACGCTTCCAGACGTGGGGGCAGTACCGCACTCTCCTAGCTCCCATGATCCTGGATCAGAGGATGCTCGAGGAATGGGGATATTGGGGCGACATTGATGCTCTACTGGGAGATTCCTTGTGGCGTGGGATTCTATCCATACATGAGAGAGATAGCTTCCCATTGACGATGGAGTTCCTATGCTCCCTACGCTTCACTCACTACGGCCACACTGTGCACGCAGGATCTGTCATTGGGTCTGCGACTCAGATGAGATTCACTATCATGGGCATTGAGCACTACATCAATGTGGCTGAGCTCGGATGGAGCATTGGGCTCTATGCTCCTGCATATACACAGTCAGACGAGTTCTGTGCTCTCCCGACGCGTTTACCTCAGACATTTGACATTGATGAGTTCTGGCACATGCACTCCACAGACACTAGACTGTTCCTCCGCATGCACCCCCAGTCGAGCCGGTGGAGGCAGACTCACTGGTATATACTCTCATTTGTACTCTCTTGTGGTTTTTTGGGACGACCTAACAACACGAACATGTTGTCCAAAAAGGACATAATATTCTTTTGGAGTCTGGTTCACCGCACCCCGGTGAATATGGCAGTCCTTTTGGCTCATTTCTTCCGGAGCCAGGGGAAGAGTGTTCGCCGCACGATCCAGGCAGGGCCCTTCATCACTACTCTCGTCCGGTCTTTCTATCCTGACCTAGACATTCCAGGTCTACACCCACTACAGGATAGCATTCGCATTCTTAGATCCTCATCCTTTGGGAACATGAGGATCAAGAAGAAGCGAAATACTCAGGAGCTTTCGGGCATTGAGCAGTCGACCCAGCAGAGTAGCTCTTCTCGAGCCCCACCACACAGGAGACCTGGTGAGCCATCCTCGGAAAGGCCTAGTGCTTCAGATTGGAGTGCGATGATGGACGCGATGAGGGGTCTTCAGACCTCATTCGTAGATTTTCAGGGTGCACAGAAGAGAGCATTTCAGGAGATGCGAGAGGCACATGCGTCGGCCCTGGGAGAATTCAGAGATTATAGACTAGCACAAGAGGGAGCCAACAGGGATATTCAGGAGTAACTAGAGACTCAGCGACTGGATATTGAGGAGTTACGAGAGTGGCTGCGGCCTAATCATGGATCACGGGATGACACAGGCGATGCCTAGATTTGCTTCTTCCTTGACATTTATTTGTGTTTATTTGTTTATTCAGGATTGGATATTGCGCTGCTCTTTTGACTTGAATGCTCTCACAAACTACCTATGGATGCTGTAAGGATTTTTTTAAAACCATTTTAATCCTGTTTCATCATTCCTCTTCACAAAATCTTTTCAAAACTCAAGTGTGAGGAAAGAACCAAAAAAAAAGTGCCTTTATTTCTAAACTTTGTGCTTTAAAAAGAGACCTCGAGGGCGAGGTCCAACTCAAGTGTGAGGAGGTTGCGTTTTACACTCAAAAGTCAAAACCTTGTTTTAGAACAATCTTTTTACTATTTTTGATATGAAATATTAATTTCTCAATTGTTATCAATCACATAATAGGTTAGAGAATCACCCTTATTATAAGAATTTACTTTTATTATTATTTTTAGAAAACTTGAAATTGTTATGGTTTCTTGGTTGTGAAAGTAAAGGGCTGAGTTTGTTTTAATTGGACATTCATTTTAGTCATAAAAAAAACACAAAAAAGGGGGGCTCCATTTTATCCATTAACCATAGTCTGTGACAATACATCCACCATGAGACTACACCGTCAACAAGAGTGAAAATGAGTCAAAAAAATAGATGAATGTCCAATTTAGAATAATGAAAACCTTGGGATAGGAAATGATTGGTGGTTTAACATAATCAATAGTTTCTTTAGTAATAATAAATTTAAATTCTTGTATTTTGGGTGATTTTTCTAAAATGTTCAAAAATTGAGAATAAAAAAGGGAGATTTTTGTTTCAATTTCTTCAATAGCAATTCGATTGTGATTCAGTCAGGTTTTACCTTTTTGAGTGTGTTTGCAACTAATTGTCGCTTGAGGACAAGCAACGCTTAAATTTGATAAGAAAAATAAGTACAAAAATGGACTTATCAATCTCCTCACACTTAAGCGTTGCTTGTCCTCATGCGACAATTAGTTGCAAACACACTCAAAAAGGTAAAACCTGACTGAATCACAATCGAATTGCTATTAAAGAAATAGAAACAAAAATCTCCCTTTTTTATTCTCAATTTTTAAACATTTTAGAAAAATCACCCAAAATACAAGAATTTAAATTTATTATTACTAAAGAAACTATTGATTATGTTAAACCACCAATCATTTCCTATCCCAAAGTTTTCATTATTCTAAATTGGAAATTCATCTAGTTTTTTTTACTCATTTTCACTCTTGTTGACGGTGTAGTCTCATGGTGGATGTATTGTCACAAACTATGGTTAATGGATAAAACGGAGCCCCCCCTTTTTGTGTTTTTTTTTGTTGGAGATGGAATTCTCCAAGGGGAGGATATAGTGTCAGCGGGAAGGGATGGATAGGTATAACAACACATGGGTGCGGTAATCAGAATGGAAAGCTGCAACACATAGCCGCATATGTAATTTACACAACTCGACCGAAAGAAAATAGCTCTTGGAAGCAAAAAAATTGTTTGCTGGGTAATGAGAGAAGGAGCTAACCGCAGAGTAGATTAAATGAGTTTTTTTATGACTAAAATGAATGTACAAGAAACCATAACAATTTCAAGTTTTCTAAAAATAATAATAGTAAATTCTTATAATAAGGGTGATTCTCTAACCTATTATGTGATTGATAACAATTGAGAAATTAATGTTTCATATAAAAAAAAGTAAAAAGATCGTTCTAAAACAAGGTTTTGACTTTTGAGTGTAAAACGCAACCTCCTCACACTTGAGCTGGACCTTGCCCTCGAGGTCTCTTTTTAATGCACAAAGTTTAGAAATAAAGGCACATTTTTTTTTGGTTCTTTCCTCACACTTGAGTTTTGAAAAGATTTTGTGAACAGGAATGATGAAACAGGATTAAAATGGTTTTAAAAAAATCCTTACAGCATCCATAGGTAGTTTGTGAGAGCATTCAAGTCAAAAGAGCAGCGCAATGTCCAATCCTGAATAAACGAACAAACACAAATAAATGTCAAGGAAGAAGCAAATCTAGGCATCGCCTGTGTCATCCCGTGATCCATGATTAGGCCGCAGCCACTCTCGTATCTCCTCAATATCTAGTCGCTGAGTCTCTAGCTGCTCCTGAATATCTCTGTTGGCTCCCTCTTGTGCCAGTCTATAATCTCTGAATTCTACCAGGGCTGATGCATGTGCCTCTTGCATCTCCTGAAATGCTCTCTCCTGTGCACCCCGAAAATCTACGAATGAGGTCTGAAGACCCCTCATCGCGTCCATCATCGCACTCCAATCTGAAGCACTAGGCATGTCCGAGGATGGCTCACCAGGTCTCCTGTGTGGTGGGGCTCGAGAAGAGCTACTCTGCTGGGTCGACTGCTCAATGCCCGGAAGCTCCAGAGTATTTCGCTTCTTCTTGATCCTCATGTTCCCAAAGGATGAGGATCTAAGAATGTGAATGCTATCCTGTAGTGGGAGTAGACCTGGAATGTCTAGGTCAGGATAGTAAGACCGGATGAGAGTAGTGACGAAGGGCCCTGCCTGGATCGTGCGGCAAACACTCTTCCCCAGGCTTCGGAAGAAACGTTCCAAAAGGACTGCCATATTCACCGGGGTGCGGTGAACCAGACTCCAAAAGAATAGTATGTCCTTTTTGGACAACCTGTTCGTGTTGTTAGGTCGTCCAAAAAAAACCACAAGAGAGTACAAATGAGAGTGTATACTAGTGAGTATGCCTCCACCGGCTCGACTGGGGGTGCATGCGGAGGAACGTTCTAGTGTCTGTAGAGTGCTTGTGCTAGAACTCATCAATGTCAAATGTCTCAGGTAAACGCGTCGGGAGAGCACAAAACTCACCTGACTGTGTATATGCAGGAGCATAGAACCCAATCCTCCATCCGAGCTCAGCTACAGTGATGGAGTGCTCAATGACCATGATAGTGAATCTCATCTGAGTCGCAGACCCAATGACAGATCCTGCGTGTACAGTGTGGCCGTAGTGAGTGAAGCGTAGGGAGCATAGGAACTCCATCATCAATGGGAAGCTGGCTCTCTCCTGTATGGATAGAATCCCACGCCACAAGGAATCTCCCAGTAGAGCATCAATGTCCCCCCAATATCCCCATTCCTCGAGCATCCTCTGATCTAGGATAATGGGATCTAGGAGAGTGCGGTACTTCCCCCACACCTGGAAGCGTGTGTGGTCAGCATCAGTAGCAAATGGGGTATCTGGCACATGCAATGGGTCATGCCTAGCCAGTGGTGGCTCCTGATAGATGGGATCGTCGCTTCCTCCTCCAGACATCTGCAAAAATCAAAATAACATTTTTTTAGGGTTAGTTTTTTTTGTTTTTTTTATAATGGGTTGCCTCCCAATGAGCTCTTCTTTAACGTCACTAGCTTGACGAATTTCCTCCTTTGGTTCAACATTTATGGAGATAGAGAATCTCCTTGCTTTTTTCGACCGGGCCACCGTGGTAAAGTTTGAGTTGGTGGCCATTGACCTTAAAGGGACCCCCGTTTGCATCTTCGATCTCGATGGTGCCATAGGGGTAAGTTTTCACGACCGTGAACAGTCCGGACCATCTTGATTTCAGTTTTCCCGGAATAAAAATTAACCGGGAGTTGAATAGTAGCACTTTGTCCCCAGCATTGAAACCACGGGCCTTGATGTGTTGATCATGACAGAGTTTGGCCCGTTCTTTGTAAAGTTTGGAATTATGAAAAGCTTGCACTCTCCACTCTTCCAGTTCATTTAGCTGGTAAAATCGTTCTTGCCCTGCAGCGTCAAGTTTAAAACACACAATTTTCATCGCCCAAAGTGCTTTATGTTCGAGTTCAACGGGTAAGTGGCAAGACTTCCTGTATACTAGGCGAAATGGGGTGGTTCCGATCGGGGTTTTGTATGCGGTCCGAAATGCCCACAGTGCGTCGTCAAGTTTAGTTGACCAATCTTTCCGAGTCTGGGTAACAGTTTTCTCTAAAATGGACTTCAAATCCCTGTTAGCGTTCTCCACCTGCCCCTGAATCTGGGGTGGTACGCTACTCCGCTTCGATGCTGGACTCCATATATGGCCAAAAGTCTGGCCATTGGATCATTATCAAAATGAGTCCCTCTGTCACTGATCAAAACCCTAGGCACACCAAACCTTGTAAACAACTTTTTCAGAAAATTCACGACTACTCGAGAGTCGTTGGTGACGCAGGCCTGAGCTTCAACCCACTTAGAAAACATAATCAATGGTCACAAGAATGTATTTGTTCCCTCTTGAGCTGGGAAAAGGTCCAACAAAGTTGATGCCCCAAACATCAAATACCTCACAAGGTAATATAAAGTGTTGGGGAATCTCATTGCGCCCAGAAATGTTCCCGATTCGCTGACAGTTATCACAAGAGGAAACAAATACATTAGCATCCTTAAAAATCGTGGGCCAGAAGTACCCACAGTCCAGAACCCGTCTGGAAGTTCTATTCCCTGAAAAGTGGCCCCCAGTAGGACTGCTGTGACAATGTTTCAGTATGTCTCTTCCCTCAGCTTCAGTAACACATTTTCTCACCACCTGGTCAGCACAAATTCGGAATAGATATGGATCATCCCAAAAATAGTGCCTTGCTTCTGACAGGAACCGTCTCTTCATGTGCCTTGTTAGGTCGGTAGGCTTGACGTTACCAACAAGGTAGTTGGCAATGTCGGCATACCATGGTGTTTGTTCATTGGCGGATATTGCCATTAACCTCTCCGCAGGAAAAAGTTCATCCACCTCGCATCTTCCAAAGGTTTCTGCTAATTCGACATCTAACCTTGAAAGGTGATCAGCTGCCTGATTAGCAGACCCTTTCCGGTCCCTGATTTCAATATCAAATTACTGCAACAAAAGAACCCAGCGTAACAGTCTAGGCTTAGCATCATGCTTTTGGAGGAGATATCTAATGGCTGAATGATCGGTATGGATAATAACCTTTGAAAGAATGATGTAAGTTCTAAACTTCTCTAAAGCACAAACAATAGCAAGGAATTCTTTTTCAGTGGTGGTGTAGTTCAGTTGTGGCCCGGACAGAATTTTGATAGCGTAGTAGATCGGGTGGAAGTTCTTGTCCTTCCTTTGGCCGAGAATGGCTCCCACTACTAAGTCCATAGCGTCACACATGAGTTCGAAAGGTAAACTCCAATCTGGGGCCACAAGTACTGGAGCATTGATATGTTGTGTTATAAGTGTTTGGAAAGCTTGGTGACATTCATCAGAGAATATAAAAACCACATCTTTTTCGAGTAACCGGGTGAGAGGTTTTGCGATTTTAGAGAAATCCTTTATAAAACGACGATAAAAGCCCGCATGTCCCAAGAAACTGCGGATGGCTTTTACCGTGGTTGGTAGAGGGAGTTTCTCTATCGTTTCAATTTTCGCACGGTCAACCTCGACCCCGTTACTTGACACTTTGTGTCCAAGTACTATACCCTCTTTCACAAGGAAGTGACATTTCTCCCAACTTAAGGCTAAGTGGGTTTCCTTGCAGCGGATAAGTACTTTTTCCAGGTTTTCAAGACATTTTTCAAAGGATCCCCAAAAATAGAGAAATCATCCATGAATACCTCCATGAAGTGACCAATGTATTTCTCAAATATGGCAATCATGCACCTTATGAAAGTGGCAGGGGCATTACAGAGACCAAAAGACATCCTACGAAAAGCAAAGGTCCCAAAAGGGCATGTGAACGTAGTTTTGTCTTGGTCTTCCGGGTTGACATGGATTTGGAAGTATCCACTCATGCCATCCAGGAAAAAATAATGACTACGGCCTGCCAAACTCTCTATTAATTGATCGATGAAGGGGAGGGGAAAATGGTCCTTCTGGGTGGCTTCATTCAATTTGCGTTAATCAATTACCATTCGCCACCCGGTAACAGTTCGACTGGGCAGAAGTTCACCCTTTTCATTTTTTGTGACAGTCATTCCCCCCTTTTTGGGGACAAAATGAATCTGGCTTACCCATTGGCTATCAGAGATGGGGTAAATGATACCCGCATCCAGCAGTTTGACGATTTCAGCACGCACCACTTCCATCATGTTTGGGTTCAAATGTCGTTGTGGTTGGACGACAGGTTTAAACCCTTCCTCGATCTTGATGGTGTGGGTACAAAAGGTTGGACTTATTCCATTGATGTCCTCAAGTTTCCAAGCAATTGTTTGCTTGTGTGTCATAAGGACTCCAAATAATTTGCCCCTTTGTTCCTCACTTAAGTGTGCGGTGATAACGACAGTGCATTTGCCTTCGTCGTCCAAGAATGCATATTCTAAATGGTCAGGGAGTTTCTTTAGTTCGAGGGGGCGGTCATTTCTTAAGTTTTGTTCATTTTTCTCCCCCCCGAACTCAGGCAATACTTCGCGAGAAGCTTGCTCAATTATCACGTCCTCACAACTCTCACATGCATCACTTATGTCCCTGTTTGCTTCTTTTAACAGACATGCTTTATCACTTACATGTCCATTCTCTCCCCCAAACAGATACCCTTCAACTGATTCGAAAGTATCAAGAAAATGACATCCTTGAAAGGAATCTGTGGGGTGTTTCATAACATCTGAGAGTCGGAAGGTGCATAAATCATCTCCGACTCTTAGAGTTAATGAGCCATCAGTGACATCAATCAAGGCCCTGGCGGTAGCCAGAAAGGGCCTTCCCAGAATAAGAGGTGTTTCCCTATCCTCTTCCATGTCCATTACTACAAAGTCGACTGGGAAAATGAATTTGTCAACCTTGACCAAGACGTCTTCAACAATTCCTTTCGGATATTTGACTGAGCGATCAGCCAGTTGAAGACACATCCTGGTGGGTTTCATTTCCCCAAGTCCTAGCTTCTCGACTATAGAGGAAGGCATCAGGTTGATACTCGCCCCTAAGTCAGCTAGAGCATTATTGAAATTGAAATTGTCAATTGAACAAGGGATAGTGAAGCTACCTGGATCCTTTAGCTTTTCAGGTATTGACCTTAGAACCACCGCTGAGCATTCTGCATTTAGGTCCACGATTGAGAGCTCCTCTAGCTGTCTCTTGTTTGTCAGCAAGTCCTTGAAGAACTTGGCATATTTTGGCATCTCCGCCAATGCATCCATCAGCGGAAGGTTGACGTGGAGTTGTTTGAGTAGGTCCAGGAATTTGTTGTATTTCCTACTATCGTCATCATTTATAACCCGTGAAGGAAACGGGAGAGAAGGTTTGACAATGGTGACCTTTGTGTTAGGGCGTGTTGGTTCCATGCTCTTCCCAGTTGGAGCATCAATATGTTTCTCAGGTGTCATACTAGGTGTCTCCTCCTCTTCACTGTTCTTCTGCTCGGTTGTTTGTCTCCCACTTCGGAGAGTGATAGCTTGCACATGTTCACGGGTATTAGGTTCTGTAGTGCTAGGCAAGTTGCCAGGCTGACGACCGGGAACATTATTCTGAGTAATTTGCATCATCAGAGTTTTGATCTGATTGTCAGTGCTAGCTTTGTATTTTGCCATTTCCTCTCGTTGCCTTGCTAGTTCAGCTACCAACAAGCCTATCTCCGAGGTTTGGGCCGCCTCTGTTTGTCGTATATGCGGGGGTGCATAAACGTGATTGTTCTGGGTTGATTGGTTTACTGCCCCTCCTTGGTTTCGCCCGTGGAAGTTGTGCCCTTGATTGTTGTTGTTGGGGTAGCTCTGGTTACCTTGGTAACCTCCACGAGGAGGACCATTGTTGTAATCCCCCTGCCATTGGTTGCATTGGTAGTTTCTCCCCTGGTAATTCTCGGGAGGGTAATTTGTGTTACCCCCCCCCCCCTATTGCCTTGATTTGCCCATGGCCCTTCTTGTTTCGTTCGGCCATATTCCAACATGTTTACCTCCCTGTTGTTACTTACATTACAATCATCAACTAATTGACATTAATTGGTCAAATGTGGACCAAAACATATCTCACATGAGAGTACAAGTTCAGTTGAATTAGAAACAGGTGAATAAACATTAAATTGTGATGAGTGTGGGGCAGAGTTTGAGTTCCCGAAGTATCAGGATGGTTGCTAATTCGGGGCAGCACCTATGTGGTTGACCTGGTTGGTGTGATTGTTTTCGCCTTTCAGATTTTTCACTTCCACCACCAACCCTTCAATCTTTGCGGTTAAGGCCGTGAGTTGGTCCACTTCAAGATAGCCTGGTTTTGTGGCCACTGGAGTTCTTTCATCGTACCAGTATCTTGCGTTGGAAGTGACCTTCTCCACTAGAGTTTCATTGGCGTCGGGCGCCATGTCAAGGAACGATCCCACCTGTGAAGAGAAATCAAGCTCTTTTTTGCTTCAAACTTGAAGCCCATTATAGAAATGGAACATCAAGCTGCTAGGGTCTATCAGTGTGAGTGGGCACTTGTTTCTCATATCCTTGAAGCGCTCCCATGCTTCATTTAATGATTCCGTCGGGAATTGCCTAAAATTTTGGATTGCTGTTTTTGATTTTAGCAACCGCCGACGGAGGAAAGTACTCTTGCATGAACGCCTGGTGTAGTGTTGCCCATGTCGTGAAATGTCCTGTTGGAAAGCTATCCAACCATAGAGATGCCCTATCTCGAAGTGAGAAAGGAAATAGGGTCAGTTTTACGGCGTCAGGAGTCACTCCGTTGAAGCGGAATGTTCTGCACGCTCTGGTGAACCACAGCATGAGGGCCCTGGGATTGGCTTGTTTGGACCCGCCAAATTGATGATTAGACATCATGTTGATAATGGCGGGTTTTATCTCGAAGTTGGCCGCCTCTATTTTTGGTGCGCTTATGCTATCATCCTCGATGAAGCTTGGCGTGAGGTTTTGCAGCATCGTCTTTTGATCCGTCATGATTGGTTTCTTGTGGATCAAAAGATTTTTCCACAAAGTTCGTTCAGGTTCAGGATTAAGTTCAAGTAGCCCTTCCACTCCTTTAGAGCGAGTGTGCATTCATTTATCCTGAAATCTTTATACAAATGTCGCAAGTGCGAAAAAGTCTCCCTAACTAGAATTCACCTATGCTAGAACTAGATTAAGAAATTACCGTGCCATTCCCCAGCAACGGCGCCATTTGATAACCGTTTACGCGGCGTTGTAGTAAAACGGAGTCTAACATTTCGGTTTTTCCCCGAGTATCGTGTCTCTTGAGGAATGGCAGAGAAGTTTTCTTAATTTAGTCTTAGTCACGGACTATCGCTAATTGTTGGAAACTTTTTCAATACCAAAAGGTGATTGTGTTCTAGACTAGGCCAATTTGCACAATTATACTAGGAGCAAATTTCAACTAAAGATTTAAGATCAAATATTCTAAAGATTAATGAAAAGATTGAGGCAAGTAAGGGCAATGAATTGAGTAATTGGAAATGGATATATTCTTGGACCTAGTAATTAGGGGAATTTAAAACTAAAATTGGACTAATAATTTCTTTTCTCATAGACAAGGATAGAAATTACTTTCATTAATTTATCATATTTCTAGTTTTCATTAATGTATTAAAAAATGGTTGGCTTGAATTCAATTCTAATCTCATAGGCAAGACAGAAATAATTCTCCAAAATTTTAATTAATAAAAATAGCCAAATTCATTAACTAATTAAATTCATTAATTAAGCAATTTGAATTTATTTCTCATAGACAAGATGTAAATCCATTTCATTAAAAGTATCCTATTTCTAGGCCTTATTAATGTGCTTGAATAAAGTTGGCTCAAATTACTTTCTAATCTCATAGACAAGTTAGAAATAATTTTACAAAATTTAATTAATGAAATTGGCTAACAATTATTAATTACTAATTCATCAAATTGAATAACTAGCTCAATTAATTAATTTTAACCCCTAATTTTAGGCTAACAAGTCAATCCATATTCCTTTACTCAATTCATGCCCAAAACAAATTTAGCTACTAAACATTATTTTTGCATTCAACAATATGGTAACTAAATTAAACATTAACAAGGAATTGAACATGTATAATAGCAAAAATTAAACAAAAATAAGATATTGTCAAAATAACGAAGCACAGATCGAGAAAACAAAGCACAGATTCAGATTCTGCTCATTGAGAGGATGAAAATACATATAAAGAACTTACAATTTGAAGCTAAAATGAAGAAGATATGAAGATTTGAAGTTTCTCTCTCCCAAAAGACCTTGGAGCTGCGAAAATGGCTGAAGAACTTGAACTTTTTGAACTGAATTAGGGTTGGAAGAGGTGTGTTTGAGTTCAGCAAAAATCGGGATATTTATAGGACGAAAAATCTCGTAGGCGGCCAACCAGGCGGCCACCTCTGGCCTTGTCCCGGCCGCCTTCCGTCACGTCACCGACAGGCGTGACGTGCCGGTCTCGTCATCCGCCGCAGGCGGTCTAGAAGGCGGCCGCCTGCCATTCCTGTCTGGCCGCCTGCCATCAAATCCCACCGGCCGGTGGTTGGTTTGTCGCCTTGTGCCGCAGGCGGTCACCGAAGGCGGCCGCCTTCCGTCCAGTGTCGGCAGCCTTCGCTCTTCTCCGGTCCGGTCAAAATTCCAAAATGCTGACTTTCCAAAAATAGCGTAGGCGGCCTGGTAGGCGGCCAATCTGGGCGCCTATTTGGGCGCCTGTGAGGTTTTTTGTCTGTCTTGTTCTGTATTTTGTGCTCTTCAACTTTCCCTTCTGGACCACTTTGAAATTCTGCTTCTTTCTTTCGGTATGATATCATTTGTCACTCAAATTGAAGCATTTTGTGCTTAATTGACCCGAAATTTCACCAAACATATCATGGACGTGATTTTTACCTGATTTCACGAAACTTGAACCAAAATATATAAAACATGCCTTGTTTTTTCTATTTTGCAATCCTAAATCACTTAAATTTGATAAGAAAAATAAGTACAAAAATGGACTTATCAATGGCCGACGCGGCCATGGTTGACGGAGCCCCGGTCGAATGGGACACCCGGTTCTCTTGGCTTCCGGACCATGTTCTGAGTTGATACCTTTCTGGCCGATGGGGGGGCCATCTGGCCGACGGAGGCCCCACTGGGTGACAGTTGTGCCTCTCATTCTTCTGAGTATGTGGGTCCTGGGGTCTAGGCCCATATACTCCATCAGGAGTCCCCCACTCTCTGAGCTGAGGTGTAGACGAAGTGAGGGAGAGTAGATTCCGTGGTTTTTACGTTTTCTGACCGTTGTGGGACCGCTATGGGTTTTTCCCTGTTTTGGCCGCTATGGGCGTCCTTTGCCCTGGTTCTTTGTTTTTGGCCGTTATGGGCGCTCTTCATTCTGGCCGTTGTATGGCCTTCACTGTGGACGAAGAGGGTTGATGTTCCTTCGAGGGGGTAAATTCGCTTGAGGATGATGAGGAACCTGGCTCAGTGGCCGATATGAGCTCTTGGTCCGATGTGGGTGTTGTTTCTTCTTTCTGGTCGCTGGCAGTTCCTTTTGGTGTCTTGGCCGAGCAGGCCAGATGATCGCTTTTGGGCCACAAGCCGAAGCGGTGGCATACATAGTTTTAGTGCCCATTTTGAGGACGATAGCGTTACTGATTCGGAAGGAGTAGTGCGTATCCTGATTCCATGGACGATGGTGACCTGAGGACGTTGGGTTCCTGTTTTAATTTCCTGACCAAGAGTGGAGTATGTGATCTCATAGCCGTTGGGTGGCGCGTGTTTAGGGACGATACGCGTCACATCTTGCGAGGAGTTTCTTTGTTTGTTGTCTTCGTTGCGGCTGACGGTGCCCCACAAACATATGTCTTAATGTTTGTGGTTGTGGACTTGGTGTATTTTTGGATTTTTTGCTTTTGTCCTTTCTTGTATCCCGGAGGCCGGTGTAGTCCCCCAGTCCCCCACTACTTCAAGCCGAAGAGGAAGCGGGGGGTGAAGGAGTAAGGTGTAACCCTAGGCCGAAGCGGGATTCTTGTATTCCCCTGAATCCAACCCCTTGGCGATTTCCTGACCAAGGTAACCCTGTGGGAGAACCCTTGGACGCAAGTCGCTTTCAAGAAGTTATCATCAGGGTTTTATACAAGGCCGATGGCTGTTGGGTTGTTGTTTGCTCTGCTGTTGTGGCCGTTGAAGGGGCCATGTTGCTTGCAGTATGTTAAGCTGATATGGGTACATATTATGGTGTGACCAGCTGTTTTGAAAGATTAGACTTCTAGGGCCGTTCTTGTTATGCCCTGTGGGAGCAGGTATTTCCGCTTGGGGTGGCCGTTGAATGGCTGGCCGTTATGGATGCTGATTACTGGTACGTTGGCGATGGACTGGCACTGATGGAAGTGGGCCTGACCCATCTTCTGAACCGGTGGCAGCCCAATAGGCCTTAGGAGTGGTTGTCGTTCGTGTGGCCAATGGGGGAGTGCCACGTGTAGTGACCGTTGGGGGGAAGTCTATAAATACCCCCCCTCCAACCGAAGGGACTCGCTATTGCTTTCCGAGATAAAGAAGTGTTGCCCAATTCTAGAGAGAGGGAGAGAGCTTGTTTGAGTGTTCTTCAAAACTTCAAACATTTAAAGGTCAGTTCATCACACTTTTCTCCTCCTTTTATATACTTTTCTTCCCTAGGGCCTTGATCTAGTGTTAGTGGAAAATCGCCCTTAGATCCAAAGTAATCCCCTCTAGGCCTTAGTTAGTCATTATGATGAAACCTTTGGACGATGAGTACTATCCATATGACGATGAGGCATCCGTCAAGTCCCTGGACTACGGAATAGTTGAGGAATGTTGTGAGGAGATAGAAGAGCTGAGCTCCTTCAAGTCAGGGGAGCAAGAGGGTGAGGAGGACCAGGACGAGGAGGCCGCCTCGTCGTCTGAAGGTTAGGACGTAGGGGTTTCCCGCGCCATGGACGGAGCGTCTACTTCAGCCACAATTCCCTACCCAAAGCCTGTTTTTGCTGTTAAGGGGACCGCCCCAACGAGAAGGCGCTGGCCAAAGAAGGGTCCAGGTTTCTCCTACCTGGAACTCACGAACTTCTACCTCATCAAGCCGGAGAGTAGCGCGGCTGATTACTTGGGTGCCCAGGCCGACGGATCATGTGCTTCAACCTCCGGCCGGGTATTTCGGGGTGTACCCGATGAGTTTTGCTAAAGGACTTCGGTTCCCGCTTCATCCATTCATCACGAAGTACCTAGATATGGTGGGTCTTCCTCCGGCCTTGCTGACCTCGAACAGCTATTCACTTATCGTCGGCTTCCTCCTTCGCTGTGATGAGCTAGACTTTAGGCCGACAACAGCTCTGTTCATGAATTTGTACCAGATAGGCTGAGGGAGCCATAAGAATTGTGCCTGTTACGCCACCCTCCAGCAGATAAAGAACAAGAGCTCCTTCACCGATCTTCCTTCGTCAATTCATGGCTAGAAGAGTAAGTTTGTTTTTGTGTCCTTGGGCGAGGGTGGCACCGAAATTCCCTCCATCGGCCATAACGGGAGATTTAACCTCCATGACGTGCCAAAGAGAAGCATTTTAGATGCCCAGGTGACGACATTCTTGAAGGGAGGGTCGAGGAGTGTGAAGGACTATATCACGGAGTATAAAATGACCTCCATCGGCTTTATGAGGTACTTTGTGTACGGGGATAAGGAGAGCGATACCGAGATATGGCCGAGGATGACAACCACTTTTGAGGAGGCCGATGGCCTGGATTTGGGCATGCCCGCCGAAGCTGATGGTAATGCTCTCCTCGGCGTCCTTGTCTTATTTTTGTTTCCTCTCCTTGCTAACTGTTTTTTTATGTAGATTTTGTGATGGACCGCAGCTCCGTCATAGCCTTAGCTAAGGCAAAGGCGCGCGAGGAGATGGCTGCCAAGGAGGCCACAAGGTTGGCCGCTACGGGTGAAGCACAGCTGAGCTCGGGTGTGCCGATGAAACCGCCAACTCAGCCGAAGAAAAAGCGGCCAGTGGATGACGGTCAGAAGAGGCTGACCAAGGCTGGTATGCAGCCTTCCAAGAAGTCGATGAGGGCTTCTCCTTCGACCGAAGGTGATGCCGGGGCTTCGACTGTACCGGCCGAAGATGTTGGGGGTTCTAATGCCGTCGTTGTTGTCGACATGGTTTCTGCCCCTTCGTCAACTGCTATGTCCCAGCCACCCCCTATCGTCCAGGACTCCAGGAAGAAGAGGGCCGAGAAGGAGCTGGCCGTCAGGAACAATAAGCTGAAGGCCGAGTACCCTGTAAAGGGTGGCGTCTTCAATGATGCTGTTGACGGCCATGATGTGCTTGCACAAGCCGTCCCGATCGAGGACCGGGCCTATCTGAAGAAGCTTGGCCCCGTCAGGATTTATGATGGTGGGATGGACTTTGTCGTCCAAGTAAGATCTTTGTACTTTACTATTTCTTTCTTTCTTGTCATCATGAGTGTCTGCATCATCCTAACCCTTTATTTTTTGCAGGGGGCTCTTATGCTGAAGGAGAGCCATGAGAAGCAGCAACGAGATCCATGGCCTGCCTGGATCGGCTCCGGGACGAAGTGGGGACCCTGAAGAAGAGGGTCGATGAGGCTGACGCAGCCTACCGTCAAGTGATGGCCGATAGGGATGATGCCCTGAGGGAAAAAGAGGAGGCGCTGAAGGGCCGTGAAGAAGTCCTGCGTCGTGCCGAGGAAGCCGCGAAGGCCAGAGCTGAGGGCGAGAAGGCTGCTGAGAAGGCCGCTGATGCTGCGGTTGAAAAATTCCTAGCCGAAGGCTGGAAGGCGGAAGATCATCGGCCCTGATGTTACGAGGTTGTGACAGCCCGGCTAGAAGACTGGGCCAGAACTGCCCTGCCGGCCAGGATTACTTACAGAGGGAGATGTCGGTCTACTATGACATGGGCTAGCAGCGGATGCAGTGGCTGATCAACCGGGGGCTGCATTGTGGCCTTAAAGTGCTGAAGCTTACCCGGTGTTGAGGTTAATTCGCCGCAGCCCGAAAGTTCAACACCTCTTCCAGGAGGGTTTCATGGTTATGGGGTGATAATAAAATATAAACAATGATTTTTACGTGGAAACCCGGAAAAGGAGAAAACCACGGGACTGTTTAGGCTAATGTCCAAGCCCGCTCCTTTTATTAATACTCTCCTCCCCATTTCATAATACAATATTGAAGCTCCGTTAATGGAGTATAAAGCTAGCTAGGGAGAAGGGGGAAGAAAGAGGGATTCTTAATAAGGAGGGGAATCCTCCTATTTATAGAGGAAAGGGGGAGGGGTGCTCTGCCCTAACGGGCCGAGTGGGCCGAAACGGGCCTCTTGGGCCTAGGTGGGCCGAATGGGAAGAAATGGGCCCTTAGGCCGAAACAGACCTGATAGCTAAAATGGGCCTTACTGATTGGACCCCGTGCTACGTAAATTCTTGGGCTTCTGAACAGTATTAGGCCGGGATGATATATCCCAACACAAGTCCCCCAGTTTCTTGAGTAGTGAGCGTGCGAATCTGCTCGAGAAAATATACTCTTGCATGCGCTCTTCTTCTGTCTTGCTGGAAACTGTGCCTTCGAATGATCATAATATATGAGTGGGTGTATGCCCCTCTGAATATAACCTGCTGGTGAGGCGCTCCCCTCCCGTCGGGGTCGGACAATGGATGATCTTCCCCAGACACTCTCCCTCTGAATGCACCAGATGGGAGTAGAGGACTCTGACTCGAGCTTCCCAATGGAGAAGCTTAGAGGTCCCTGCACAATATAAGCTGACGACACGGAACTGGCTCGATATGATGTACATGTATGTATGGATGTATGAGAGATGATGCATGAATGTATGAATGCATGTGATGTATGAGTGCCATGTATGAGAGAGGGCATGTAAGATGTGATACAAGGCGGTGAATGTCATCGGTAAACCGTGCACGACGGCGCTGAGGGGCCGAGCGTATGGTCTTACTTTGCCATGGTGTGGTCTTACTTTGTCATGGTGTGGTCTTACTTTGCCATGGTGTGGTCTTACGTCGAACAAGAACCGGACACGAATGGCGTTGAGGGGCCGTTCGTGCTGCATAAGACGTTCGTCGCCACCCTGGAAGGTATGGACGAGCTAAACGTGAACTAGACACGATGGCGCTGAGGGGTCGATCGTGCTGCATAAGAGGGTGTCGCCATCCTGGAAGGGATGTACGAGCCGACCGTGAACTAGACACGATGGTGCTGAGGGGCCGATCGTGCTGCATAAGACGGTCGTTGCCACGGTGTGGTCTTACGTCGAATGTGAACTAGACACGATGGCGCTCAGGGGCTGATCGTGCTGTGTAAGACGTCCGTCGCCATCCTGGAAGGGATGTACGAGCCGCACATGGACACGATCCGCACTGTAGGGTTGATCGTACTGCGTAAGATGTCCGTCACCATCCTGGAAAGGATATACGAGCCGCACATGGACACGATCGGCACTGTAGGGCCGATCGTGTTGCGTAAGACGTCCGTCGCCATCCTGGAAGGGATGTACGAGCCGCATATGGACACAATCGGCACTGCAGGGCCGATTGTGCTGCGTAAGACGTCCGTCACCATCCTGGAAGGGATGTACGAGCCGCACATGATCCGAACACGATCGACACTGCAGGGCCGATCGTGCTGCGTAAGACATCCGTCACCATCCTGAAAGGAATGTACGAGTCGCACATGAACCGGACACGATCGGCACTTCAGGGCCGATCGTGCTGCGTAAGGCGTCCGTCGCCATCCTGGAAGGGATGTACGAGCCGCACGTGATCTGGGCACGATGGCGGTGAGGGGCCGATCGTGCTGCATAAAACGGTGGTCGCCATCCTGGAAGGAATGGACGAGCCGATCGTGAACTGGATACGATGGCGCTGAGGGGCCAATCGTATTGCATAAGACGGAGTCCCCATCTGCTTGTCGTAACCGCCCATTCTCTCTCTCTTTGGGACTTCAAGGGTGGGGATGCTCATCTCCAAGCCCTCGACCTCTAGAGTTGAAATGCTCGTCTCCGGGCCCTTGGGTCCTCTGGAATGGAAATGCTCGTCTCCAGGCCCTCGGGTCCTCTGAAATGGAAATGCTCATCTCCAGGCCCTTGGATCCTCTGAAATGGAAATGCTCGTCTCCAGGCCCTTGGGTCCTCTGGAATGGAAATGCTCGTTCTCCAAGCTCTGGGGTCCTCTGGAATGGAAAATGCTCGTCTCCAGGCCCCCAGGTCCTCTGGATAGACCTTAGGGGTGAAGATGTTCCACAACCCTTATCTACTACTCCCTCCGTCCCAAAAACAACTTCCCACTTTCCTTAAATAGATGTCCCAAAATTAACTTCACACTTCTTCCCACTTTCTTATTTCGCAAATTATCAACATCAAAACAGTGACAAACAGTGTTAAACAAGGTCCAAACAGTCCTAAACAGTGTCGAAACAGTGTCAAAACAGTAAAATTTTGGGAAAGTCAAGCCAAAATTTTAATCTACCAAAATGTGTGTGCTAGTCAAACTGAGAAGTTGTTTTTGGGACGGAGGGAGTATTATCTTTTTTTTAATAATAATTTTTTTGAGGGGTCTTTGAATATGACGATGGCACCGTACTAAGGGGTCAGTGGCCATGAATGATGTCGGCGCTGGGAGCCGATCTGAAAAAATAAATCAACGGTCCTCATCCGCGAGGAGCGGGGACAAAGTCGGTCTTCTAATATGATGATGGCACCGTACCAGGGGGTCGGTAGCCATGAATGATGTCGGCGCTGGGAGCCGATCTGAAAGAATAAATCACGGTCCTTATCCGCGAGGAGCGAGGAGAAGGCTGGTCTTCAAATATAATGATGGCACCGTACCAGGGGGCCGGTGGCCATGAATGATGTCAGCGCTGGGAGCCGATCTGAAAGAATAAATCAACGGTCCTCATCCGCGAGGAGCGGGGACAAGGACGGTCTTCAAATATGATGATGGCACCGTACCAGGGGGTCGGTGGCCATGAATGATGTCGGCGTTGGGAGCCGATCTGAAAGAATAAAATAACCGGTCCTCATCCGTGAGGAGCGGGGACGAGGTCGATCCTTAAGCATGATAATGGCACCGTACCGGCGGGTCAGTGGCCATGAAATGAAGTCGGCGCTGGGAGCCCATCTGAAATAATCAACGATCCTCATCCGCGAGGAGCGGGGACGAGGCCGGGGGGTCTTGAAATATGATAATGGCACCGTACCGGGGGGTCGGTGACCATGAAATGATGTCGGCGCTGGGAGCCGATCTGAAATAATCAACGGTCCTCATCCGCGAGGAGCGGGGATGAGGCCGGACTTCAACTATGATGATGGCACCGTACCAGGGGATCGGTGGCCATGAGGGTGTCAGCCTGGGGCCGATCAGAAAGAAACCAAGCAACGATCCTTGTCTGCACGGAGCGGGGTGAGACCGGTCTTCAAATATGATAATGGCACTGTACCGGGGGGTCGGTGGCCATGAAATGATGTCGGCGCTGGGAGCCGATCTGAAATAATCAACGGTCCTCATCCGCGAGGAGCGGGGACGAGGCCGGTCTTCAAATATGATAATGGCACCGTACCAGGGGGTCGGTGGTCATGAAATGATGTCGGCGCTGGGAGCCGATCTGAAATAATTAACGGTCCTCATCCGCGAGGAGCGGGGACGAGGTCGGTCTTCAAATATGATAATGGCACCGTACCGGGGGGTCGGTGGCCATGAAATGATGTCGGCGTTGGGAGCCGATCTGAAATAATCAACGGTCCTCATCCGCGAGGAGCGGGTACGAGGCCTGTCTTCAAATATGATAATGGCACCGTATCGGGGGGTCGGTGGCCATGAAATGATGTCGGTGCTGGGAGCCGATCTGAAGGAATAAATCAACGGTCCTTATCTGCGAGGAGCGGAGACTAGGGCGGTCTTCGAATATGATGATGGCACCGTACCAGGGGGTCGGTGGCCATGTAATGATGTCGGCGCTGGGAGCCGATCTGAAATAATCAACGGTCCTCATCCACGATGAGCGGGGACGAGGCCGGTCTTCAAATATGATGATGGCACCGTACCAGGGGGTCGGTGGGCATGTAATGATGTCAGCGCTAGGAGCCGATCTGAAATAATCAACGGTCGTCATCCGCGAGGAGCGGGGACGAGGCCGGTCTTCAAATATGATAATGGCACCGTACCGGGGGGTCGGTGGTCATGAAATGATGTCGGAGCTGGGAGATGATCTGAAATAATCAACGGTCCTCATCCGCGAGGAGCAGGGACGAGGCTGGTCTTCAACTATGATGATAGTGGCACCGTACCAGGGGGTCAGTGGCCTCGAGGGTGTCGGCCTGGGGGCCGATCTGAAATGATCAATCTTCGTTCCCTCATCCGCTCGTCTTACTAGCCCATTTGGCCCGATCCTTTGGATCCTGAGTTGGGCTCGGCCGCGATTGTGATGAGGAACGGGTATATCCCCTTTGGGGATTCCCCGGTGCCCCACTATTCTTCTTCTTTATTATTATTATTATTATTATTATTATTATTATTATTATTATCATTATTATTATTTTGAGGGGTCTTTGAATATGATGATGGTACCGTGCCCGAAGGTCGGTGGTCATGTGGAGATGTCAGCACTGAGGCCGATCCGAAGGAGTCAATCAACAGTCCTCTCCCGCGAGGAACGGGGATGAGGCCGGTCTTTAAGTAGGTGAGTACGCCGTGCCGAAAGGCTGATCGTGATATGAGGATGGTCTGACGGCCCTCGGCCGTGATGGTCTCCTCTAGGCCATCGGCTCTTGGGGTGGAGATGCTTGTATCACGGTCTCTTAGTTGTGTCGGTTTCCCCTGGACCTCAGCCTCTTGGAGATGTATGAACGTCTCACGACCCTTTTCTTTAGCCGGTTTGGAACGTCTTCGGAACGCGTGCCGAACGTCATTTAATTTCTTGCTCGGGCGCATTGAGCAACCTTGACTGCATAACTAAAATGGTAACGGACCGTTCGGCCCGACAATATATATACACCTATAGCCATCCACGTGGCTTTATTCTTTTTCCAACGCTCGTGATTGCCGGCCTATGGGTTATTGTGACCCTCGGCCTGGCTCATCGTGCGGGGTTATGGCCGTCCGGGGCGGGGCCACTTAGTGGCTTGCCGAACGTCGCATAGAAAAATACTGGTCCGTGAGTTTGAAAACTCAGACCTACGTTGCCGCTCGGCCCTTGAAAAAATGAGGTTGAGCATCTTTGGTGCCCTTGGGCCCCATAGGTCGCGTTTGGCAACAATCACTTCGCGCCTGGTGGCGCAGATGGTACTAGGGTACGATCGTCGCTCGGGCCATTGGTGCCGTGCGGACTAATGCGTAACCCCCAAATTAAAACGCGTCGTCGGGGCAGAGCCCTCTGGAGACGCTCGGATCGCTAATTAAGTTGATCGTGAGTGGGCCAACGAGCCCACAAAAATTAAGTATTCACTAAAATGTTGGCTGAACTAACCATCACTAGAGCTTTGCTTTGCACTATTTAATTCGGGACATTTTTATCCCTAATAAATAATCGTGAAGTAACAGATAATAATACTGAATTATCCTATCATAGGCCATTCAGATATGCTCAGATCGCTAATTAAAGTCGATCAGGAGCGGGCCGACAGGCCCACCACAACCAGTCACTAACTTTAAATGACGGTGATGATAATTATCACTAGAGCTTTACTCATTCGAGTTTTGCCCGACATTATTTAATTTCGGGATATTTTAATCCCTATTAAAAGATGGTGATAAAAACTAACTAACAACGCTCATAATACTATCACTGTTCTAATAATTTTAAGCTAGTAAATGAGGGAGTATGTGGCACTTAGCTTTTTCGAGATGGACGGAGATAATGGCTCAGATACTGGACCCTTAATTCTTTGAGCAGCTCGGCCGAAATACAAATGAATATCACACAAGCCTGTTGTCCACCCAAATAATACTAAGTGCTTCAAATTTGATTTGACTGACAACTCCCCTTTTTAATTTTGACCCTTCGTACGTGGTCCATTTTCAGCCCGTGAGGAGCATACCGCGAGAAGCAGATGAACGTCCAACGCCCCATCTTGTGGAGGTCGGCCGCTGACTGGCAGTGGCGGCTGGGAAAGCTAGCCCGCGGTGGAAGGTCGGCAGAGCTTCGGGACATACCTCCCCAAAAACTCCAAGCTACCATTAATGGCGGAAATCAGAGAGCTCTGAGATGGCAGGTACCTCAAGTCGCGTCGGCAGAGCGGTGGGGGTTCCCACGACATCGGACCAGATGGATGAGTGGTCATGGTTGGCCAGTGGAACCAGATGCTAGTCACGAGCGGCTCCGTTGCAGGCGGTGCCTTACCAGAACTTGGGATGACGCGACCTAGAGCACTGCAGCGAGCTTCGTCTGGTGCAGGTAAGCCCACCGGAGTTTCCATAGCGGCGGGGATGGTGACGGCGGCTCCGGCGACCCAAACAAGATCTGGAAAAAATCCAGATTTGGACATTCACACTTCGTACCTTCCTTGCTTTCTTCTCTCCTGGGTGCCGCAGCAAGCTTCATCCGGTGCGTGTAAACTCACCCAAGGCTCCATGGCGACAGGGACGGTGTCGGCGGCTCCGGCGACCCAAACAAGATCTGGAAAAAATCTAGATTTCAACTTCCCGATTCCATAGCTTCTCCTCTTTACAGAATCATTTTTTTTTCTCCTCTCGTTCGAATCAGTAGCTTTTCGCATCAATTTTTTTTTGTAGAATCAAGAACACATGAAATCTTTTTGAATAAGATTCCCACAGACGGCGCCAGTGTTGAGGTTAATTCGCCGTAGCCCGGAAGTTCAACACCTCTTCCGGGAGGGTTTCATGGTTATGGGGTGATAATAAAATATAAACAATGATTTTTACGTGGAAACCCGGAAAGGGAAAAAACCACGGGACTGTTTAGGCTAATGTCCAAGCCCGCTCCTTTTATTAATACTCTCCTCCCCATTTCATAATACAATATTGAAGCTCCATTAATGGAGTATAAAGCTAGCCAGGGAGAAGGGGGTAAGAAAGAGAGATCCTTAATAAGGAGGGGAATCCTCCTATTTATGGAGGAAAGGGGGAGGGGTGCTCCGCCCTAACGGGTCGAGTGGGCCGAAACGGGCCTCTTGGGCCTAGGTGGGCCGAATGGGTAGAAATGGGCCCAAAGGCTGAAACAGACTTGAAAGGCTAAAATGGGTCTTACTGATTGGGCTCCGTGCTACGTAAAGTCTTGGGCTCCTGAACAGTATTAGACCGGGATGATATATCCCAACACCCGGAAATGGGCTTGGACTCATCTGAAGCTCCCCAAGAAAATGAGGGACCCCGAGGAGGAGAGAAAGCTTCCTCCCTCTGAGAGGTAGGCCCCGGTGCTCAGTTCTTCCATCGGCGAATCTGATTGGTCCGATGATGACGTGCTGGCGGATACCGCTGTCTCCAGAGCCGAAGCTAGCTTGGATGCCGCAGCCGAGGAAGGTGGTGGGGGTGTCGTCGAGCAAGACGTTGTGGAACAGGCTGCTGCGGAGGCCAATCAGAGGAGTTGATCGGCTGGCTCTTCTTTTGTTTTGTATTTGTAATTAGGTATTCTCCTTTGTAAAGGTCGTCGTGCACACCTTCTCTAATGGATTCAAATGAATAGAAATAGTCGTTGCTTCCGGCTTTTGTGTTATCTTCATCTTGTGTCATTCTCCCACCTTTTTTGTTTTACTTGCAATTTTTCTAAGTGTCAAACAAGAACTCTGGTACTTGCTTCCTGTAGTCGTGGCCGATGAAGGGTCTTGCCCTTTGCTCGGCTGAGGGGGAGATGTCTTCTTCGTCCTTGTGATGTTTGGCATCCCATATTTTTGTGAAAATACTTCTAAGTGTTTAGCTTAGAGTATATATTTGCTTTATCTTGTTGTAGGCGATGAGGGTTGTCGGCCCTTTATTCGGCCTCAGGACCCTTGTCGGCCACTCTTGTTGCCCCTTGGGAATGTTCCCCAAGTACTTTGAAATTTCTCTATGTATTGGACAGACTTCGGTGGTTACTTCCTTTGGGAGTGGCCGATGATGGCTTCGCCTTGGGGTTGGCTGAGTAAGTTTCCCATGGGCCATTTTAGTCACGTGCCGGCTATCGTGCCCTCGTCCATCGTCCGAGTGCCCATCTTCAGCCACAAGAGTTTACCTTGGAATTTTTGTCCATGTTTTTTTAGTATGAATGCTTTCACCCATGATGCATAACATTTGCTTGATATGTACTTAGTCAATTTTGGGGGGTTTTATTTTTATTGCTCGCGACGGCGAGTGCACGGCTCATCGGCTTCCCTCTTTTATGTTTGGGGATATTGCTTTAGGCCGGCAAGTGCAGGTCCTTCGGCTGTCCCTCTTTTAGTTTTTGGGGATATCGTTTTAGGTCGGCAAGTGCACGGTCCTTCGGCTGTTCCGCTTTTATTTTCTGGGGATATCGCTTTAGGCTGGCAAGTGCACGGTCCTTCGGCTGTCCCTCTTTTATTTTCTTCCTCTTTACTTCTTTGAGCGAGGAGTGAGTATCCTTCTTTCAGGCTTCGGCCGAGCGGGTCGATAGTCCTTCGGCCGGTAAGGAGTCCTACTGGATCGTCCTATGGTCTCAGGGAGGTCCTGTCGCCTATTTATAACGCGGGCTAAGGCATTTGGTCAGTTACCGATGGCTACCGTTTCTCATCTCTGAGTTTGGGGATTTTTGTCACCTCGGCCATGATTTCAAACCTGTCGCCCTACGATTTCACGAGTGGACGACGCGGTGAGCCTCTCATTTCAAGACGTGGGCTCTTTGCGGGCCCCTCGTCCTGGGGACACCGTCGGCCTTACCTAGTGTCTCGCTCTAAGGGGCCGATACGATTGTTAGTATATATGTCCTAGCGACAATCATTTTTTAAAGACATATGTACTTGATCACATTTAGTTTTTATATTTGATATATAAACGGTATTACACTTTATGAATGATTGTTTTCGATTGTCAATGTTTTATTCATAATTGTGTTCCCTTGGATTTATGTTGTCAATAAGTAAGTGGGAGCTTATATGATATAACATAAGGTCCTAAAATAACCCTAATCAATGATCATCAAGAATGGGATATTGATGATATGCGATAAGATTGGTATGTGGACTGCATCATACTTTTAGAAAGTATAGTTGATCTCACGACTATGAGTTCCTGTAATTCATGATGGTCACATAGATATTTTAGAGAATATTGGCATACCCACCGAGAAACCATTTGATAAGTTCTATTCATGTGTCTATGGGATTATCGGCGTCTAGAGTAGTGTAATAGTCCTCCGACTTGAGGTCAATACGTACTACATGTGCGAAGTGATGTACTTTGACCATGACCAACACTTGCACTCCAATCGGGGTAGATACGGCATGTGTTGGGTGCATCACGAAGCACATGGAGTAGTAGTTGAGCCAAGAAAGGATTCATTCCTCATAATAGATTAAGAGAGAACATTCTACTTCTCATATCTAGATGGATCATAAAGTCATTGGCCAATGCAAAGATATATTCGTTTTGGATATCGAATATGATCGTTATGGATCATCTAGAAAGATTGAGAGACAGAGACTGAGTTATTGGGATAGACACTATATCATGTTCTAGACTTAGTTGAATGTTCGCTGAATGAAAGGACCGTATCACTATGAGTTCTATATTACAGGGAGTTTGAATAGTCCTCGCAAACGTCCTTATATATTAAGATTGTCTGGTAAATCGTCTAGGGATTCTACTAAGACCTTAATTTGATTAATGCTTAATATATAAGACCCTATGGGTCACACAATAAGTGATTATACCTTCCGATTGAATTGTTAGAAGGAATTAAATATTATTAATTGGATTAAATAATATTTAATTCATAATACTGAAAATGGATTAAATATTAATTAGATTAAATATATTTAATTCATGATGTTGAAGGAGTGTTCTATTTGATAGAATTAATTAAATGTGATAAATTAGATTTATTATAGTTAATTAAGATGTATTTATTATTTAATAAAGTTGATATTTTCTTTTGTAATTTAGAATTAAAAAGAAAAGTAAATAAACTAAACAATAATATATATAATAAATAGAGAGTGGCGTAAGACCACTTCTCTATTGTGGTTATTATTATTATTATTATTTTGGTTTGTTTTATCTACTTATTTAATTAATAAGGAGTATTGGTCCTAGCGGGATTATGACTCATTAATTAGAAAGACTTTCATTGTGATTCAGAAACTAGTTTAGAACTAGTATAAATACATCCACCTCCTTCATAACTAGTGACAAGTTTCGGATTCAGTATTACCAGTTTATTTCTCTGCGAAGAGATTTCCTAGTCTTTCTCTTAGGGAGATCTAACCGTTCTTTCAGGAAGGAGAAATCACGTGGATACCAAAGGTCAAGGATTATCACCGCTAGGCTGGAAGATCTGTAAGTTCTAACTCAGATCTGTTATTATTATCATATTCGTTATTTTGTCATAATCAGGGAAGATCTGTTTGGGAAAATTTTAAACTTCCGCTGCCGTACTTTCAAGGTACGTTACATCAATTTCCTAACAGTGGTATCAGAGCCAAACTGATTCTAATGACATTATACGATTTTTTTGGCCTAATTTGTTTTTCCAAATCTGTTGAATCTGGAATCCGAAAGATGTTTACGGATTTGATTTTGAAATCAAATTTAATCATATTGGAAATTAGATTTATTTAGATATGTATTTTGAATATCTGAGTGCTACGGTTGTTCTAGAGGAGCAATCTTCTCTTGTTTCGTTTTCTTCTTTTTTTCAATATAAGTTGGAAGAGCTAAGGAAGCTTCATCTTTGATAATATTCAATCGTCGAATTATATCATCGACATCAAAACAATCTGACCACCGAGCTTGGTGCAAGGAAGATATATTTGGCCGCCATTAGTGGCGAATTGGGCTGCGAAACTCTGAAACGGGAGAAGTCGATGGCGGACCAGCGATGCCGGATTGCGACGAATTACGACAGAGAACCTATGTTGGACGTGCATGGCGACCAGCGACAAGGGCGCTGCGAGTTGACTGGGATCCCGCTATGAAGCCCTGCATCTGCGTTTTTCTATGCCCTTGAATTTTTGGATTTTGGGCTAACTTTACAAATTAGATTAAACTAAGGGCCTTATTGATAATATTAGAAATCCTAATGTGGTAGAGTTCCTTTATGATAAGAGTTTTTAGGGAATCCGTATTAATAAGGTATACGTATACCTGTATAATAATAAAACATACGGTTTTATTGTAATAATTAAATTTAACTAAGTTTGTATTAATTGGATTAATGATCTTAGAGATTAAACAAGTTTAATTTAATAAATTTGACTTTAACCGATTGTTGTATTATTATTATTTTAAGCATGCTTAATTAGTTATTTGATAATTGTATTTGTTTATAAATTAGATTTATATTGCATGCTTTAATTTATCTGTTTGAGTTAGATCTCATTAACATATTATTTGATAATATATTTTAGCATCTTGATTAAGTAATTTAATATCCCGCTAAATGTTCCCCATAAATTAAATTTAAGTCTTATCTAGGATAACGACATCACCCATCATAATTAAATTAGTAGAAATATTTTTTTCGTTGAAGAATATTTCACCCAAGTGTTTATTCCATTCGACAAAATATAGAACTAATTTATAGATACATATGTTTGTGATCGTGTGATGGTTTTGACTTAATTAAATTAGCTCGAGTCGCCCAAGCGTCAGTGTTAATTTAAGGATGTCGATCAATTTAAAAACAAAATTGATCAACCAAAAGTTGCTTGGACGCAATTGGTCTGGGGACCTACCCATTATATTATTGCAGTGATCAGCCCAAGCTGGGACTGTAATAGTATGAATGAGGATTTTGGCCACTATGATTGCAAAACATTCCATGTTCCTTTTATTGGGGTCAAAGAGCATGTAAAAATAGTGGAAGCTAAATAATTAAAAGTCCATATTATTTAGTTAACTAGATGTGATCATAGAAATTAAGATATGATTTTAATTCCGTTCTATTTGAACTTCTTTAGGCTTTTTAGGTATGTCGAATTTATCATTGAGAAGTATCTTGGATACAAATAATCTGATTGAACCAATCTTTCTAGACTTGGAACAAAATATGCGTTCCGTTCTTAGGCAAGAAAATATCGAACATGTATTTGATACATGTGTACCCGAGATCCTTGATGTTAGCTCTTCTGAAGTAGCCATGTTTGACAAGGACATTCAGAAGAATCACATTGCTGAGGTACCAAATGATGTATGTCTCTACTGCAAAGATATAGGACATTGGAAGAGAGATTGTGAGATATACAGTACTAATCTAGCCAAAGCATCGAGTGCTTCTAGCTTAGGCATTTTTGTCATTGATATTAATATGTCTACAACTAACTCTCACTGTTGGGTATTAGATACGGCTTGTGGCTCACACATTTGCAATAGTGCGCAAGGCCTAAATGACAGTAGAGCAGTTAGGCTGGGTGAGATTGACCTACGTGTAGGAAATGGAGCAAAAGTTGCTGCTGAACGTGTAGGGACTTATATATTAGATTTACCCAGGGCTTATAGATTAGAACTAAATAATTGTTATTTTGTTCCTTCTATAACAAAGAACATAATTTCCATTCCTATGTTAGACATTGAGGGGTTTTCCTTTCATT